CTTAAGGATGTACACATCTGAGGAACCAAAAATTTCTAGAATTGAACTTTTTTTCTTAACCTGATTTTCTGGTTTATAAGACTGTAAGGTAATTGGTGAAGAAAAAATCATATGGTGGTGCACTTCTTTTTTGTTACAGCCGTTTGAAAGTACCCATTTTTAATGATTTTTCCATTTTTCATCATTTTTACCAATTTTTGACCTTTTATCATGAAAAAAATCAGTTGCACATTAAACTTTTTTTCATACTTTCACTACAGATGAAGTGGACCCATCTGAATAAATTTTACTTAAAAAAAACCATAAGTTGGTGTTGATATTAATAGAAAGTTCTTTAAAATTTTGTTGCTTTTTCATGTCATGCTGTCAATTTTGTAAATTTCAGAGTCTTCTTTTTTTTTTTAGAACAAAAAGCATATTATTTTCAACTTCTTTGTTATAAATGGTTTAAAAAATACATATCTAAGAGTTTTGAAAAGAAAAAATTTTTATGGGATGTACATATTCTTGGTTGAATCATTTCTTTGTACCCTTCATCCATTTTCGCAATATTTTGGCTGATGACACTGACCGGATTGGTTATAAAATTTGAAAATTTAATACTCAAAAAATACTTATTGTAAGTACACAACAATTTTTTCACAGAGTTTAGTTGGATTATAATATTTTTAAAATTCATTGATATTTTCCACTTGTATCACGTTTTAGAAATTCCCGAACGAGATTTCAACGAGACTGGAACATCAGAAAAATACATCCTTAATGAGTTCATTATATATATAAAAAAAAACTCATCATCATGATCATAGATACACAGTTTATCTTCAATTACAAACTTTAAAAAGTTTCCCTGCATTAAACCTGGAATGGAAGTAAATTCAACTATATGAATAGATTCAGCTTACATTTACCAATATATATGCATCATACTACCGAGTTACAGGATGAAAGTCCAAAACTATTGGTGAAATACACTCAGAAAGAATAATTAATCATTCCCATAGCAATAAAAATCAAGGCAGCCATCAGACTCAAATAGCTCTACAATAACACCAAGGCACATGACTGCAGTACAATCAATCTCCTTAACTTGGACATATAACTTAAGCCGGAGTAGTGCACAGTTTTTAGTTAATACAAGAGTGGACACACTGAAATGTCTCGCCTGTTTTAGTGTTCATAATTGAATTTATGTTGAAAGTAAAAAAAATAAGTTTATATAAGCTTTACATTAAATTAACATTTTAATGATGAATGAACATGAAGTCAAGGTGAGATAAACCCTATCAGACAAACATGTAGGCCGTACAATCATTCCATACACCAAATTTATTTAACATATATTGCCTAAAGTATCTTAGAAACAAACCTCATTGAGGAAACTGAACTTTGACCAATGAACCATAAAATGAGGTCAAGGTAAGATGACCTGTCAGACAGACATATACACATAACATTCATTCCATACAGAAAATTTTATGAACTTATCACTTATCTGCTAGTTGGAAATGTGAACCTTACGATCATTCTATACACCAAATATAGAAGACCTATTGGTGATAGAATTTGAGATATGGACTTTATCATGAAAACTAAATCTTGTTCACTGATCCATTAAATGATGTCAAGGTCAAATGAAATATGTCTGACAGATATGTGAACCATGCAAGGTATGCACATGCCAAATAAAGTTATCATTTTACTCATAATAATTGAGAAAATCACATTACAAAAACCATACAGTTTTTTTTCCAAGTAGTTGCTGGACCAAGAAAATGAGGTCAAGGACAATGGACATATGACTGACAGAAACTTTGTCACATAAGGCATTAGAAATATTAAGCTGTAAGTAATGAGATAATGACGCTGCTGCTGCCGATGCCCCTGCCAACGCTGCTGCTGCCGCCTCTGCCACCGCCCCTGCCGAAGATCACTATCATAGTGTCTTCATACTACAAATTGTATGGGTTATTATCCACTATATGAAAATATGCTGAATAACTGTGGTTAAGGTTAAATAACATAGTGATATACCATTGATATTGATAATTGTGATTAAACATGGCAGTGATGAATGATATTATGATTGTTAGATTTTAACACAAGAAGAATATTTAATCACAATCTTTGCAAGTTAAGTGCTGAAAAGTGAAATAGTTTGACATGTGATAATATTACATCTGCAGTGAGTTATAAAAACATCATAACTGCTGAAAAGGAAAATTATTAATATTAACTATTACTGAAAGAGGGGAATTTGCTTGATACCAGATCAACCAGAAAATCAGTAAATGTGATTCTGTTGTGCAAACAAAATTTCAAAAGTTCTTCAATCTGTACATATTCAGCCAATTAATCTTTATGAAGGGACTGGAGTGAACTGTATTCTATGTTAAACATTCATGCATGAGTGACCTTATTTTAACATTTTCACACCTTCCAATGTTTTTGTTAATCACGGTTTAGTAATGATCCCTTAAAAGTTTTTATTATTTATTATCATTATTAATGTTATTTAAAAAATTTTATAAAATAATCTATTTCAATGTAAGTAATCAGCAGTTAAATAATAAAATACATTCCATACACCAAATATAGTTGACCTATTACTTATAGCATCTGAGAAGAAGACCAAACAACAGAAACTTAACATTGACCAATGAACCATGAAAATAAGCTCAAGGTCAGATGAAACCTGTAAGACAGACGTGCACACCTTACAATCATTCCATACACCACATATAGTTGACCTATAACTTATAGTATCTGAGAAGAGGACCAAGCAAGAGCAACTTAACATTGACCAATGAACCATGAAAATGAGGTCAAGGACAAATGACACCTGTCAGACAGACATGTACACCTTACAATCATTCCATACACCAAATATAGTTGACCTATTGCTTATAGTATTAGAAAAACAGACCAAAACACAAAAACTTAACATTGACCAATGAACCATGAAAATGAGGTCAAGGACAAATGACACCTGCCAGTCAGACATGTACACCTTACAATCATTCCATACACCAAATATAGTTGACCTATTGCTTATAGTATTAGAAAAACAGACCAAAACACAAAAACTTAACATTGACCAATGAACCATGAAAATAGGTCAAGGACAAATGACACCTGCCAGACAGACATGTACACCTTACAATCATTCCATACACCAAATATAGTTGACCAATGGCTTATAGTATTAGAAAAACAGACCAAAACACAAAAACTTAACATTGACCAATGAACCGTGAAAATGAGGTCAAGGTCAGATGAAACCTGCCAGACTGACATGTATCCCTTATAATCATTCCATACACCACATATAGCTGACCTACTGCTTGTAGTATCTGAGAAACGGACCTAATCACGTAACTTTAACCTTGATCACTGATCCATGAAATGAGGCTGAGGTCAGGTGAACCCTGTCTGATGGACATGTAGACGTTGCAAGGAACCCATATACCAAATATAGTTATCCTATTACTCATAATAAGTGAGAAATTTACATAACAAAAAAACTAAACTTTTTTTTCAAGCAGTTGCTGAACCATGAAAATAAGGTCAAGGACATTGGACATATGACAGACGGAAAGTTCGTAACATAAGGTATCTGCATACAAAGTATGAAGCATCCAGGTCTTCTACCTTCTGAAATATAAAGCTTTATACAAATAGTTTACGCCGCTGTCGTCGCCGCCGGATAGTAATACCTATGTCTCACAAGACAAAAACTGAAAACCAAATAGTTAATGAGCAGCTGCACTATGAGCGGATGGTATGTCCAGTTTGTACATATTGAAATTGTCGCCAGAATGAAATGGAAAAATGAGAAGGCATCTGATCAGAAATTAGTAAAATGGCTCTGTAGAATACCTTTCATTCCTTCTTTCTTTGTGAATATTACTTTTACTGTTTAGTCTATTTTTGGTGATATCCATTTGACGTGGCTCGGTACTTATACATCCCGTCATTGTGTTATTGTGCTATGGTAAATTTTTGTATTCTTGTCTTTTATTTTTGTTAAAGTGCTTTGTAGATATGCCTTTTGTGTTTCTTTGTTGACATATTTGTATGTTTTTATAGTGATTAAGATTATAACACAATGTTGACTGCTGTACCCCTATTTTTGACATTTTTACCTATCATGTCAGTTTGTTTTGTTCACACATCGTTGTCAATCTAATGGAATTTTATGGGACTGTCATACAAGTGAGAGATTTAGTTAGCTATAAAACCAAGTTTAATCCACCATTTTCTACATAAGAAAATGCCTGTACCAAGTCAGGAATATGACAGTTGTTATCCATTCGTTTGATGTGTTTGAGCTTTTGATTTTGCCATTCGGTTAGGGACTTTCCATTTTGAATTTCCTCGGAGTTCGGTATTTTTTTTATTTTACTTTTTCACCAATTTCAACAATTATGTAAAGTTTCAAGGTAACGTAAGAAAAAACTCAAATCTGACATTTAAAGCCCCATTACTCTGGAACAACAAAGTGAACAAACCAAAAATTTTAAAATCAAAAGGGAGCTTCATTTTATCAATCCCAACTTTAGTGTAAATTTTCGAGGTAACCAATCCAAGCATACTGGAGTTAGTTCATGATATGTGAAAAATTGCTTTAAATCTGAGGGTTAAAGTCCTGTACCTCTTCAATGAAACAACTTAAAATGTTCAAAATTGAAATGGAGCTTTCTTCCATCTATCCAAATAGTGTTTAAAAATTTCATGAGAATTGGTTCAAGCAAAGTTGAGTTATCCTATGAAGTGTTGACAGAAGGACAAATGGATGGAGGAAGGAATGGACAGACAGACAGACAGACATATGGACGGATTACAGTATACCATAATAAGTCAATTCTTAGATGAGGGGATAAAATGTCCTAACCCCAGCCTCACATTCACAAATTCACAAATAGACCTAGTGTCATAACTAAAACATATTTGGACTATTATTAGTATAACATATCTTGTACTGAATAAAAAGAAACACATTCAAATAAATATTTTATTATAATAACATCAAGTATAAATATATCACTATCAAATGATAATTGCACATAAGTAGAATGATAACTAATCATACACCAATCAATTTACATTATAATCAAAATGGTCAAGTTGGCCATTAAATCATAGGAATTTCAAAATTATCAAATTTTCAAAATTAATCAAATTTTCAAAATTAAACATTGGATCTTTGTACTTTGATAAAACATTGCAGTTTTGATTTGCGTGGATTAAAGTACCTTGAAATGATAATAAATTCACTAAAATGGTGAAATTCACAAAATCTTGCATTTTTTTCATTCAAACATGTTGTGATATCAAATTGAACACATGCCTTGGCCGAAGAAATATTTACACAGAAAGTGTTTTATGTTTCTTTATAGTAGCTGGCAAAAACTATTTTGAGTGATGCATGTGCTTTATGTTAAAAAGCTAAAGGTGTTCCTAATATTTGCTTAATTTTGTTTAAAAATTCTATATTTTTCCATAGATAAAATAAGCCCCAAAATGTACTTTCTCGATTTGAAAAAAAATATTGAGAGTAAATAAATGTCCTATCTGATGTAATACAATGGTAGAATCTGTCTCACTCATATCAACTTCATAATTCATTGAATACTGAATTTTGCTTTTGAAGATCTGTGAAAATTTTATTCTTTCCCCTTTTTTTAACCAAAAGGTATTATCTGACAGGGTTGCTAATTGTATGCCATTACAAAAGTAAAATCACAGAAAAGCATGGAAATATTTACTTCTAGAATTTATTTGCAACCAAAAAAGAATGGTGAAAAAAATATTTTATAGACCACACATTGTTTATCAAAAAGTACACAATGTTAATCCATAAAGAATTATATGAAGGTCTAAATAAAAACACAAGACCTGAAAATATAACAATACATTTTTAAAGTACAAAATATTGGAAGACAGACAAAAAAGACTAAAACATTACACTAACACAACAAAATAAACCCAATGTACTTCAAAATGTACAAATCACAAATAGTTTTAATCAATACACAACATTGAATATTACTAATGAATTGTTTTGATTTCATTACTGTTTATAATAAACAATCTATTCTGAAAATGAAAATGAATCAAAACATCAATATGAAAACATTTTCTTCTTAAAATATGAAAATAAATCTGTTAAAATTGCAAACATAACAAATGCCCCAAAAAATTAGATATTAGTAAACAGTATAATGGAATGATCTGCTACAAAAAATTATTAAAAACTCACCAAAAACCATATAAAATACAAAATAAACTTTGATGGAATTCAACCTGACTAAAATTCATCCACCACTGAAATCCAAAGAATCTAGGTACTGAAGTGCCTTAAAGGCCCTGTCCCCTGCCCAAATTGAATGCTAACATATTATCAATTCAAACAACCAATAAATTGGTTTTATTCTATTGTTGATACAAATTCCACTCAAATTGTATATGTTTTATTCTGATGTAATTATTTTTTCATGATTTTCAAGAAGTAAACATGTAAAGACATTTCTCTTTAAAGTGGTTCTGATCAGTTTGATGAATTCAATTTTTAACTTAAAACAAACAAGTTTTCCTAAGAAGATAAATATTGTAATTGACAGGGTAAAGTGGTAGAATCTATATTCAGATTATATAATTTAATATCTAAGTTATACTTCAGAAAACATTAAAAATGCAGAGAGGCAATCATTCAAATATATATATATATGCAGCACATTTCATGTTACTACTAGTCTATTTAAAGACAAGGTGTCAAGTAAACTTTCAATTCACCTGAAAAGGCAAGATTTACGTAAATAAAATAAAATTTAGTTTTAATAAACTTAAAAAGTATAAATAAATATCTATAAAATAATGCTCTATTTGTGACCTTCAACTTCAACATTACATTTATATAATGCTTATATCTTATCTTTATCGAAATATAGTTTAAAACACTAAAGTTATTTATTCAAGGTTGCCGTATTTATCGAAAATGATCGACACTATTTCCTCCTTCTTGAGAAAAACTTGCAACCCATTGCATTCAAGTTAGATATTGAAATTGTGAAACTTTGTAGACTTCCATCCTGTTGAACAGATATTGACTGTTATGTGAAGGATATCCATTTTATTGTTTTCATGGTGATCTCATCTGCTTCTGCTGAAACTGCACAGAGTTATTTGGAAATGTTTATATATTTCTCTGTTGGTGCATGACCCTAAACAATGTCTAGATACTTATTATAATGATTTATTTTAGTTCTCTATTGGAGTATGACCTAGGATTGACTTTTACAAAGTTTTAAAATGCAAATTTTGCAATGGATTGCAAAGACAGTAATATTCTAAACAAAAAAATTTAATAAATCACAAATTCTAAAATGGCACAAACCTTACAAAAATGCTATTTGACAAAAATGAATAACTTTGCAAATATAGATAAATGAAATTATTAAAATAAAATATAGAATTAATCCATACTTGGGTGAACTTTACATAATATGACAATTTATCAATGCTGAATCTTGCACCAAAAGAATAAGACAAAGGTAAACAAATTATTGAAATCATGCTGACCATTCTAACGGTAAATTAATACATGATACTTATTTGACATACCTTACAAAAAAGACTTTAGCTTCATTCCCCTCACTTAATCACTTTGATGTAATACATGATACTTATTTGACATACCTTACAAAAAAGACTTTAGCTTCATTCCCATAACTTAATCACTTTGATGTAATACATGATACTTATTTGACATACTGTACAAAAAGACTTAAGCTTCATTCCCATAACTTAATCACTTTGATGTAATACACATGTGGATAATGCCTCTCTTCTACGTGTGGGAAGTGCTTTTAATCTAATATTCTATGGGTTTGAATGGAAAATATATATTTAAATGCCATTTTAACTTCCTTGAATGCCCTTTTGGGGGTATTAAGTTCATATAGTTGAAGACTTTATGGGAATTATTATACATTTCTATTTTGGCATAAAAAATATGAGACAGTTAATGGGTCACAAATTGGTCTGTTAAAAAAATTATTGCTTTTAAATATATAAACCGCTGTGCCATGACCACATGATACGCCCGTCGCATTTTCAAAAGATATAAACCAGTCCCCAAAGTTTCATGAAAACTGCTCAAAGCATTTTTGAGTAATTGTCCGAAAACTGGAAAATCCCCCTTTTTTAATGAATAAAACCCCAAAACTCGGAAATGTAAAATCCTAAATTTATAAAAATCAAATAGGAGCTCACGTCAATAGATATAAACAATTCACCGATGTTTCATGCAAATTGGTTAAAGCGTTTTTGAGTTATAGTCCGACATGTTGATGATGGACGAATGGAAAGACGGACGGACAGACGGATTATGGTATACCATAATACGTCCCGTAAACGGGCGTATAAAAATACAACAGAGTCAAGGTATAATATAGAAAAAATTATTACAATGAATGTATGATCAGATTTTGTGCTTACAAAAACGTAAACACATAAAAATCACCTTCCTAACATATCAAATATGATTAGACAACATGACAATACAATTACTGTTTCATATAAATTAAAATATAAATGACATGTTGTCCCATAGAATTTCCTTTTTAGCACATATTTTGTCATGATGACAATGACAACTTTTTTTAAACTATTCTATTATTCTAATATTGATAAGTCTACAATATTATGTATGCATATATAGAATAATGGCATTTTTGTTTTTGATACTGACTTTATCAGCAAGAATATCAAGCGACCCCGAACTTACATAATTTTGAAATAAGATATTCAAGGGATTATGCCAACTTTCGCCCAGTAATTTCAAAGACGTGTGATCATACAATATGGAATACATCAAAAAGTTTTGACCACTAGATGGAATACAATAAAAAAAAATCAATATTTTATTTTCTTTTAATCCCTTTTCTTGTAAATGGTAGCAGTAAGGAAAATATAATAGCATTTCCTTTCTCTCATTTTTAGGATAAATATGTTCACTAAAATGAATTACATTTTCTGATGCTGACTTAAGTTTACATAACTCACTCACTATAAAAAAGATGTGTAAAAAGGGTATGTAATCACATTAAAGAAGAAAAGTTGACTGACAATAAATGGCTACAATGATGTTATGACTAAAGGAGATGGTATAATATGAGTCATTATTTGTGTTACTGCAGAAATATAAATTTTATGTTGATTGCACTTTATAAATGTCATAATTAACCTATTTGACCAAAACTGGTCATTTTTCTTATAAACTTTGATTATATCAATTATCAGCCACAGCATTACCAACCTTTCCCCCAAAAAAAACCCAAACAAACAAACAAACAAACAAGTAAAAAAAATAAAATAAAACAAGAAAAAACAACATTTAACTCATATAAAAAATTTGCATAAATCTTCTTTTGACTAAAAATATAGGTATGGCTCAAATCTAAATTTCAATGGATGATGTCAATATGTCAAAAAATATTAAATAACTAACTCCATTGCTCAAACTTTTCAATAAGTCTGTAACTATAGAGACATTGGTATCCAAAAGACATCAAAAGTACAACATAGTCATTAGACAGGCAGGTGTCTTTACAATTCATTTTAAAGGTCCCACCTGACCAGTAAATACAATTTACACATTTTACCCAATTTCAACCAATAGAAAACTTTGTTTTATGCTGATATAGTGAACATGATGTATAGGATCCACAAGTCTGTTGGTAAAATTGCATTTTCATTTGAAAATGATGAAATATACGAAAGTTTGTAAGGAATAAACTTTGCCCTCTTATGATATGACGATAAAAACGATGAGATTCTGTCAGGAAGAAAATACTTCATCCTGCTGAGATAACTGTGCCTCCAACTGCTGGACTTTTTCTGCCAGAACTTGTGAAGCTATTTTTTGGTGAGCATATGCTTCATTTCTCTCATGCAGCTGTAAAATAAAGACAGAATAGGCTTCATTGTGTTGTTAAGTTGCTGTCTCATTGAAGTATACCTAATCTACTTTTATTCATATACAAGACTGATTAAAATAAAGTGAATCAAATTTGACAGATGTATAACCTATGCAAATCATTAGGTGAAAAACATGTCTTTTTAACATACAACATGGGAGAGAACTCTAGAAAGATTTTTTCAATTCAAAATTGAAGTCAACTACTGTTTATAATGTTTTCTATGTATAAATTTTGTCAATACAAACACACAGGTCATTATATTGAGTTTTTCTGTTAAGCTAACAACAGGTTGATATTGCAGCTGAGAATTGTCTTTATCATAATAACTAATGTGTAAGGTTACAGTGCACCTCAGGTAAACCTTACTTCATTGAAACTTAAGTCAACTTAATATCATAGTCAAATTATTTAAACATAACAAAGCCATGTAAACTGGATTTTCTACTCTTTACTCTTTCCATTGTATATTTTCTAATGAGCCATTTTAACAAGACAACTTACAATTTGCGTAAGAACAAGAACTAGTTCTCTGTCTGTTAATGGTCTGTTATCAACTTCACCATTCTCAATACATACACCCAACTTAGAATTAGAAACTGTACGTCTCATCAGATCATCTGAAGAAAATATAAATAAAATTAGTTACCTGTATAAAGTATAACTGTGAGTCTTCCAAGGAAAATGTGTGTCCCCTGCAATCCTTGAAAAATGTGTGTAGAAGTGGATTATACTGAAGGTCCTTTCTCATATTCCATTTAAGCAAAAACTAACCAAATATTGATGTTTTTCTGGTGACATGTTATTTTCCTTCTAATGTACAAATAATGCAATTCTTTTCCAAGATAAGTAACTAAATTTAACAACATTTCTAAAGTAGCAAAATAAGTATTCTGATGACTTGTAATACACTTCACAAACTGGTTTCCATTATTATAATACTTGCCATCATTTAATGTTTCCAACAGGAACCTGAAGACAGCTTTAGCTCTATCTAGCTTGTTAGTTCCTGGTACTGCCATTGAAGTTAGCTGAGATAGGAAGACTTTATTTTTCTGTAATTGTTCCTCAAATGCCTGTCTGTAAGCATCTACTGTTAACATCACTTCTTTCTTCCTTTTCTTGTGAGATTCTACCTGTAATTGTATTATATATGTGAATAAAAGGACCTCAATGAGACAGCAAACCAAAAACAGAAATAAAGAAAAGCATCTTGCCTGTGACTTCTGCTGTCAGTGTAAAAGTGTAATGTTGACTGCTAAAAATAAGTCAATTTATCAGTTAAATATAGAATTCTTTTTTCAAATCAATTTTTTTTCAGATGCATTTTCTTAAATCTTCAAGAAGATTCAGTCCAAGTTTCATAATATTCCATGAAGGTTTGAAAAAGTTATTGATTGTTAAAAAATTTAACCCCAACCTGTATTTAAAAGTTACCTGCAAAAGAAGGTGCATAATTTTATCAGTAAAATTCTGAAAAAAACAAACAAAATATTTTGCAAATTTTGCTTCAGAAATTAATCTCAATCATAAAAAAGCTTCTTCCTAAGTTTCATAAAATTCTATGAAGGTTTGACAAAGTTATTTAAAATGCCAGAAATAATTAAGCCAAAGACTATATTTTAATGTTAACTGCTAAAAAACCTAAGTCTTTTTATCAGTACATAAGGAAAAAGTGAAAAATATATTTTCAAAATTTTACTCTAGATACTGTCTTTTTATTTTTAAAAAGCCTCTGTCCTAGTTTCATAAAATTCCATGAAGGTAACTAGGTTTAATAAAATGCTCCGCTGGGGCGCAGCTTGATACGACCGCAGAGGTCTAACCCTGAACAGTTGGGGTAAGTATGGACACAACATTCAAGCTTGATACAGCACTGAATTTGGATTGTAATTAAATATTTGACACAGCATAGGTTTCTGACACAGAATGAAAGTGGTCTAAGAACTTAAAAAATTTTAATTTACATATTCAAACCATAGCATTATTATTTGCTTTTATATATAAATCAGAAATAACCAATTTAAAATGGAAAATTTTTAAAGAAAAAAAAGGAAAAAAAACCCCCCCCCAAATTTTTTGAAACCCCTTATGATTCATCACCCCCAAGCTCAATCCCAGCCTTCCCTTTGTGGTATGGTACCTTGCAGTACAATTTCAGAGAGATCCATACACTTGAACACAAGTTATTGTCTGGAAACTAGAAAAATGCTTGTTTTTTGGCCCAATATTCCTAAACGTTTAGGGCAATACCCCCAAACTCAAACCCAGCTTTCCCTTTGTGATATGGAACCTTGCAGTACAATTTCATAAAGATCCATACACTTACACACAAGTTATTGTCCTGAAACTAGAAAAATGCTTGTTTTTTTGCCCTTTTATAGCCCCTAATTACTAAAATTTTGAGGGAATTACCCCCAAAATCAATCCCAGCCTTCCCTTTGTGGTATGGTACCTTGCAGTACAATTTCAGAGAGATTCATACACTTGAACACAATTTATTGTCTGGAAACTAGAAAAATGCTTATTTTTGGCCCCTTTTTGGCCCCTAATTCCTAAAATTTTTGGGCAATTACCCCAAACTCAATTCCAGCTTTCCCTTTGTGATATGGAACCTTGTAGTATTATAAATAGGAGTATCACTGCTGGTATATTTCCTTCTGAGCTTAAAAATGCCCGTGTCATGCCAAATCATAAAAAGGGTCCTAAAGATACTGTCGACAACTATAGACCAATATTTATTTTGCCTACTCTTTCAAAGATTTTTGAAAAGCATGTCTGCAAACACCTATACCGATACCTATTAAAATATAAGCTCCTTCATGCAAGTCAGTCTGGATTTAGAAGCCACCACTCTTGTCACACTGCTTTACTAAAACTTATTGATCAGTGGTTGAAAGCCATTGATGATGGAGAAATTATAGGTATTATCTTCCTAGATTTTAAAAAAGCATTTGATCTGGTAGATCACATTATCCTTCTTCAAAAACTGCAGTGCTACAAAATTTCAAATTTATCATGTAACTGGTCTAAATCATATCTATCTCATAGATTCCAACAAGATGAAAATGGGACAATCAAGTCAAGGGCACTAGAAATAAAATCTGGAGTACCTCAGGGCTCCATATTAGGCCCCCTTTTATTTTTATTGTTCATTAATGATTTGCCCCTTCATATAACCTCATCTGAAGCAGACCTCTATGCAGATGATACTACCATTCACTGCACAGGTCGTAGTCTAAATACCATCCAGGACAGCATTACAAATGATTTAGACAGAATTGAAGAATGGTGCAAGGGAAATAAGATGTATATAAATCCAACAAAAACTACATCTATGGTTATTGGTTCTAGACAGAAACTAGCAAAAACAGACCATGTTCTTAATTTGACTGTTGGTAACTCCCACATTAGAGATGTTAATGGCGAAAAGCTCCTAGGGGTTTTTATTGATGAAAATCTTGAGTGGACAGCCCAAATTGACACTTTGTGCACAAAAATCAGTACCAGGCTAAATCTTTTGTCTAGGATAAAGAAATCCCTCCCCCTGGAAACACGAAAGTTATACTTTAATGGTTATATTCTCCCTATTTTGGATTACTGTTGTACAATTTGGGGAAACACCAGTGACCAAAATACAAATAGATTAGATAAACTTCAAAAACGAGCAGCTAGAATTATTCTTGAACTTCCTTATGATACCCCATCTAATACAATGTTTAAAAAGTTATCATGGCTTCGATTTACTGATCGTGTTATTTACCACAAGGCCTTATATGTTCATAAATGTTTATATGGATCTGTCCCAGAATATTTGTCTAACAAAATCTCCTATGTTACAAATAAAAATGGAATGCAACTTAGATCAAATACTACCCAATTACTTAAAATACCAAAGGCAAGAACAAACACATTTAGAAGATCTTTTTCATATTCTGGCCCAACTTTATGGAATAAACTACCAGAAGCACTAAGACACATGTCAAACATAAATACTTTTAAAACAAACTGCTTTAAGTTTTTACTTGAAAATCCAGGAATTATTTAAATGATTATGTATCAATTTTGATTATGTTTTCTAATGTTTATCTTTGTTATGAAGAAATTGTGTGATGCATTGTGAGTGGAGTGTGAGGGCCTCAAGGGAGAATAGTGTTTGTACTAATTGAGCATACCCTCTTGAAATAAAGATTATTATTATTATTATTATTATAGTACAATTTCATAAAGATCCATACACTTACACACAAGTTATTGTCATGAAACTAGAAAAATGCTTGTTTTTTGCCTTTTGGGCCCCTAATTCCTAAAATTTGGAGGCAATTACCCCCAAAATCAATCCCAGCATTCCCTTTGTGATATGGAACCTTGTGATACAATGTCAGAGAGATCCATAGACTTACACACAAGTTATAGTCATGAAACTAGAAAAATGCTTGTTTTTTTGCCCCTTTTTGGCCCCTAATTCCTAAAATTTGGAGGCAATTACCCCCAAAATCAATCCCAGCATTCCCTTTGTGATATGGAACCTTGTGGTACAATGTCAGAGAGATCCATACACTTACACACAAGTTATGTCTGGAAGTTACAAAAATGCTTATTTTTGGCCCCTAATTCCTTAACTGTTGGTACCATAACCCCCAAAATCAATCCCCACCTTCCTTTTGTGGTATTGAACCTTATGGTAAAATTTCATTGAGATCCATTCACTTAAACTAAAGTTAGAGTGCGAAAACCAATGTGTCTTCTGAAGACCACGACAACGCCAACGTCATACCAATATACGACCACAAAATTTTTTTTGCGGTCGTATTAAAACTGGTTCAGGGGAGGTAACTCTATATTTTAGATCTAACATATACCTGAGATTTTAATCTTAACACTACTTGTCTCAATTGAGCTGCTGCATGGAGACAACCACATGGTTCAGGGGAGCTAACTCTACATTATCATATCTGAGGACACTTCTTGTCTCAACTGAGCTGCTGCATGGAGACAGCCACATGGTTAAGGGGAGGTAAAGCTACATTATCATACCTGAGATTTTAATCTTGACACTTCTTGTCTCAAATGAGCTGCTGCATGGGCACAGCCACATGGTTCAGGGGAAGTAACTCTACATTTACAGGCTCCCAAAACTGCAATCTAAGGAGAAGTATAACCTTTTTGATAATAAAAGCTTAATTCATCAGTTATAAAATGACGTTTTAAATTTTGATATACCTTACTCATAATTGTGAAAAAGAACTTTTTTGAGCCCTTGAATTTGGAAATCAACAAGTAGTATAATGCTATGAAATAACATCCTTCAGAAGTTCTCAAGACATTCAGTAGTATGTCAGATATCAGTAGTTATATTTTGTCTTTCTTATTTACTTTAATAGGTATTAAAGGGGCATTGGCTGTCCAATTCAAATTCATGATCACGGATTTGACTCATATTCTCATATTTGATTAACATACTAAAACGTATATCAAAATTGCAATCAAAGCACGAAAGCGCTGTAAAGGCAGTTAATTACAGGTTGTGTGTATTTTAAGTCCAGTTATATCATTATCTTGCATAGTACAGTGTACTTATCAGAGGTGGCTTTCAGTATTTAAGATTTAGAGTTCTCTAATGATATTGAATAAGTTTTATGAATGTCATATTCTGAGCACTATATGAAGGCGATTGTTCTCACTTGTTTATGAACTAGTGCATTATGTCCAGTTTGTACCTTTTTTATCTATGTTTATAGTCAAATTAGTTATCAAAGGTACCAGGATTATATTTAATACGCCAGACGTGTGTTTCATCTACATAAGACTCATCAGTGACGTTCAGATCAAAATAGTAACAAAGCCAAACAAGTACAAAGTTGAAGAGCATTGAGGACCCAAAATTCCAAAAAGTTGTGCCAAACACGGCTAAGGTAATCTATTCCTTGGATAAGAAAATCCTTAGTTTTTTCATTGGCAATCATAACACATCTCCTTATTTATATAATGGTCTATATTCAACGACCTCAGGTACAAAAAAAATGTATGTAACTAAACTATGATGGGGAAACCTTTGACTTCTTTCTTTATATAAACTTTTGATTTGGTACCATAGAACTATGTAGAGTAAATGTACATTGCAACATGTCAACTCTTTCAACTCCAAGCAAAATTATATTTCCAAGCATAAAGTAATTTATGAATGAAATAAAATGCTCAGCTGGGGCGCAGCTTGATACGACCGCAGAGGTCGAACCCTGAACAGTTGAGGCAAGTATGAACACAACATTCAAGCTTGATTCAGCACTGAATTTGGATTGTAATTAAATATTTGACACAGCATAGGTTTCTGACACAGAATGAAAGTGGTCTAAGATACTTAAAAAAATTTAATTTACCTATTCAAACCATATCATTATTATTTGCTTTTATATATAAATCAGAAATAACCAATTTAAAATGGAAAATTTTAAAGAAAAAAAAGGAAAAACAATCCCCCCCCCCAAATTTTTTGAACCCCCTTATGATTCATCACCCCAAAACTCAATCCCAGCCTTCCCTTTGTGGTATGGTAACTTGCAGTACAATTTCAGAGAGATCCATACTCTTGAACACATGTTATTGTCTGGAAACTAGAAAAATGCTTGTTTTTTGGCCCCTTTTTGGTCCCAAATTCCTAAACGTTTAGGGCAATTACCCTCAAACTCAAACCCAGCTTTCCCTTTGTGATATGGAACCTTGTAGTACAATTTCATAAAGATCCATACACTTACACACAAGTTATTGCCATGAAACTAGAAAAATGCTTGTTTTTTGCCCCTAATTCCTAAAATTTGGAGGCAATTACCCCCAAAATCAATCCCAGCATTCCCTTTGTGATATGGAACCATGTGATACAATGTCAGAGAGATCCATAGACTTACACACAAGTCATTGTCATGAAACTAGAAAAATGCTTGTTTTTTTCCCCTTTTTTGCCCCTAATTCCTAAAATTTGGAGGCAATTACCCCCAAAATCAATCCCAGCATTCCCTTTGTGGTATGGCACCTTGCAGTACAATTTCAGAGAGATCCATACACTTGAACACAAGTTATTGTCCTGAAACTAGAAAAATGCTTGTTTTTTGCCCCTTTTTGGCCCCTAATTTCTAAAATTTTGAGGCAATTACCCCAAAATCAATCCCAGCCTTCCCTTTGTAGTATGGCACCTTGCAGTACAATTTCAGAGAGATCCATACACTTGAACACAAGTTATTGTCCTGAAACTAGAAAAATGCTTGTTTTTTGCCCCTTTTTGGCCCCTAATTTCTAAAATTTTGAGGCAATTACCCCAAAATCAATCCCAGCCTTCCCTTTGTAGTATGGCACCTTGCAGTACAATTTCAGAGAGATCCATACACTTGAACACAAGTTATTGTCTGGAAACTAGAAAAATGCTTATTTTTGGCCCCTTATTCCTAAACTTTTTGGGCAATTACCCCCAAACTCAATTCCAGCTTTCCCTTTGTGATATGGAACATTGTAGTACAATTTCATAAAGATCCATTCACTTACACACAAGTTATTGCCATGAAACTAGAAAAATGCTTGTTTTTTGCCCCTTTTTGGCCCCTAATTCCTAAAATTTGGAGGCAATTACCCCCAAATGCAATCCCAGCATTACCTTTGTGATATGGAACCTTGTGATACAATGTCAGAGAGATCCATAGACTTGCACACAAGTTATTGTCATGAAACTAGAAAAATGCTTGTTTTTTGCCCCTTTTTGGCCCCTAATTCCTAAAATTTGGAGGCAATTACCCCCAAAAATCAATCCCAGCATTCCCTTTGTGATATGGAACCTTGTGGTACAATGTCAGAGAGATCCATACACTTACACACAAGTTACGTCTGGAAGTTACAAAAATGATTTTTGGCCCCTAATTCCTTAACTGTTGGTACCATAACCCCCAAAATCAATCCCCACTTTCCTTTTGTGGTTATTGAACCTTATTTTAAAATTTCATTGAGATCTATTCACTTAAACTAAAGTTAGAGTGCGAAAACTAATGTGTCTTCGGACGACGACGACGCCAACGTCATACCAATATACGACCACAAAAATTTTTTTGCGGTCGTATAAAAAGGAGTTCTTAATTAAGAAATAAACTGATTCGCTGAGCGCAGCTGGATACGCCCGCAGAGGTACTACCCTGAACAGCTGGGGCAAAAATGGACACAATATTCAAGCTTGATACAGGTCTGAATTTGGATTGTAATTAAATATTTGACATATTATAGTTTCTGAATAAATGTAGTCAATGAACTTGAAATCGGTTATATGAATTGAATTTATATTCAATTAAAGATTTCTTGCTGTTGTGCAATACACTGTGCTGTTGTGCAATACTTAATAAATCTGTTGCCAGACTATAAACAAATAAAGTTCAATTTCTTCTCAATGTCATATTTGAAATTTATGAAAATCAATAGGGAGATTACATCAATAGCTATAAATAATTCACCAAAGTTTCATGTGAACTGCTTAAAGCATTTTTGAGTTGTTGTCCAAAAACTGGAAAATCCCCCCTTTTTTAATGAATAAAACCCCATAACTCAGAAATGTAAAATCTAAAATTTATAAAATTCTAAAGGGAGCTTACGGATTGATAATTTAGTCTTAGATGCAAGATTTTTTTATCAGTTGTTAGTGGCTTTGAACTAGCTGCCAGTAACTGCGAGTACTCTCAAGATTTGTACTTAGTGTCTTTTTGTGTTTGGATGTACAACTACCCGACCACGTCCACTTGTATTTGTATTTATCCATCTGATGAGTTTAGCCTCTTTCAACTGATTTTTATAGTTCTTTCTTATATTGTACTGTTACACCACTGTCCCAGGTTAGGGGGAGGGTTGAGTTCCCGCTAACATGTTTAAGCCCGCCACATTCTGTAGTACATGTATGTGCCTGTCCCAAGTCAGGAGCCTATAAAAGTGTAATTCAGTGGTTGTCGTTTGTTTATGTGTTGCATATTTGTTATATTTGTTCATTTTTTTACATAAAACAGGCCGTTAGTTTTCTTGTTTGAATTGTTTTACATTGTCATTTCTGGGCCTTTTACAGCTGACTGTGCGGTATGGGCTTTGCTCATTGTTGAAGGCCGTACTGTGACCTATAGCTGTTAATTTCTGTGTCATTTGGTCTCTTGTGCATGTGTGGAGAGTTGTCTCATTGGCAATCATACCACATCTTCTTTTTTATATTTACATCAACAGATATAAAAAATTCACCAAAGTCAAGGTGAGACAACAAAACTTAGTTGTAAGATCTCTGAAATTTTTTATAGGGTACGAGTTTTTCTCATTGTTGGAGATTGTACGGTGACAGTAACACCTGTAACTGCTTAAACCCATTTCTTATGCACTTTAGTTTGATAAACTCATACCACATCTCCTTATTTTTATATGCATTACAATTTACATGTGCATGTAATTGTAAATATATATATATCAGAACAAAATTCATTGCGTCACTTTTATTTATGCATCCTTTGGCACAATACAAGTTCTAAAATTACACAACATAAAACAACTAAATGTTATTTCAGATGAAAGTTTTGTTTCAGTTCCATTCATAGGATTTATTAGAATTTTGTATGTTTTGCCAAGTCCAATAATTCGCTCTATGTGACATAGAGACATAGTTGACTAAACCACCAGGTGTCGAACATTCAAGAATTTTCAGTGTTTCTTTTTTTATTTGATGAAAAGGTTGCCTGAGCTCTAGGAGCTTTAGGTTTTATCACGGGATATTCTGTGCTGTCAATAATAATCCAAGTCGTAGGAAACTTTAATTTGAAGTTGGATGGTGAAAAATACCTGACTAAACCACTAGATGGCCAAGTGTTAGCCTCACACCACTGTTTAGACATAAAAACAATCCATGTATACACAATATTCTTAACACTAGATTCAATCTAGAATCTAGACAGTTCAAAGTTGGTTGTATGATGCCTCAATTTCATCAAAGTCATAAAAAAACTGATTTTCAACTGACACCCTATCAATTTGAAAATATATGTATCTCAAACAATGTGCTGCTGGACCAAGTGTGGTCAAAACAAATAAAAATTTAGTATACAACTCTAAACCGGTATAAAAATGCATGGCTGTGTCACGTGTCTTCATTTCAAAATTCTCTGCTGAAAACATAGGCATTGATGGTGTTTGCGTAATTCCATCTGTGAAGCTCAACATTAGCTCGGCAGTTGGTGGTGGACAGTCATAAATCCTTTCTGCAGTATGAATGACTTCTTCAGGAAAACCAACTTTACAATCAAAACTTTCCTCTAGATTTCTACTACAATATTCATCAAGTTTAGTTCTTTTGTTTTCACAGGAAACTGCCCTGATTTTTCTTTTTGCGGACGATTCAGTCTCTTGCTTGGTCCAGGAAAATAGGCTGGGAATTGCAGTAGACTTAAGTCTCTGTATGGTGGGTTTGCGCCCTGAAAAAGGTTATAAAACATTAGTTTTTTTATAATTAAATGAACTTCCATTAGCAATGTATACTTTGTACTACCTGGCGAAATATTAACTAGATTTATTCATTACAATCTGGATAAAACTATGTTTGCCTGATTCAATGTATGTTATGTAAATCCAAAGGACAAACAATGAGAGACTTATGCAACAAACGTACATTGTTTGTAACTCAATAACTATAATATAGATGAGAGCATGTCATTGTTTTGTTCCTGTTAACATTGTCATTGATATTTTTCAAGAAAGTCTATGAGGCATAGCTTATGCATTCCTGTCATTACTACATTAGCATAATTACTGCTAAAATAATTCTAAGTATGATATACCTCTTGTAAGAAATCATTATAATTGTAGCAATCACCAAAAAATCTCAAACAGATCACATTGAATCGTAATCCAAAAAATTATGACGTCTTGAATTACCCACCCCCTTTTATTCTAAAACGATAATTGCGGTTGTAAACAGACTTTGGTTTATACGCATGGCGATTACATATATAACTATATATTTCACAAAGAAAATAGAGTTTTACCATGAATAGTTTCCTGCACGTAGTCTTTTTCAGTAAAACGTGCCTTGCAAACAACAGCTGATTGAGATGGACTCCACGATATCATCGTGTTCTCGTCCAATCTGCGTATGGGCCATGGCGTTGATCCACCTTTTACTTCTTTTTAAGTCATTTGGAAATGCATGTCCTCCTCTTAAATGACATCCAGGTACACAACAACAAGTACTTGGCATCGTTAATTAAAAATATAACTGAAATAGTTGCACAGTGCAGAAACCGGAAGTAGAGGAACAGGATCCGCTACCATAGCGCCACCTATTCAGGAACGATAATTTGCTAATTTATATAACTGCGAAAATAACGTTAGACGGGTTCACGTGCATAAACAGAAATGCGCTTTAAATTGTATAATATAATTCATGTTCAGTCGACCTTTTATTATTATATCAACGACTGAAATGATTTATAAACATCTAGATTGCATATAACACTCGAAATTAACCCGAGCTCTTTCCACACGGAATTCAAATAATTCTAGTTTGTCAATCGGTTGACTGCTTATAATGCAAAATACTAATATATCAAAAGTTTTTAAAACTAACAAAACACAATGATCGTTTCTCTATTTCCCAATGTAAATGAAATGAAACAAAAAACATTTTATATCGCAATAAGAAGAGGAGAGAATTCAACATTTCCGGATCTACTTGGAGTCTAATGACCCCCCACGTAGATAAGTTGGATATCGCGGAAGGAAGGATTAACCCGGCAACTAGAAAGGCATTAAAGCACTGCCTTTAAAAAATCTAAAATAAACAATTAACAATGCATGAACTTGATAATATGTATCAACACTTCTTGTGTACTTTTGCCTAGACATCAATTAAATTAACCACCGAGATGACCTCCAAAGACTACCGACAGTCATATAACCCTATATAAATATAAATAGATAGAGAGCATGTGCAGCTTGATTTTTCTACGTCTGTTTATGTTAATCAGTCTTTACCTGTATAAGAATGTTTTTTAGTGGATCGAATCAGTCAACCAAATGGTTCACTCTTGTATCACTTTTAATGATGATATTTTTTTCCTTTTAATAACTGAACATGCCTAGTACATGCCTAACCCATCTCTAGCTATGGGTTAAAATAAAGGTAACATGAATACGGATTCAATGAGGTTACATTTTTGACTTGCCAGCCAATAATACATCAGCAATATTTTTGAGCTTATTTTGAAAAATTTTGACCAAACTGACTGCTAATAACGAAATATTATTTCAAAATTCCGCTTTTATTCATACTTGAAACAAAAAAAAATCGTATTCTAAATTCATATCTAAATCCTAGCTAATGCCCCTTTTAAACCTCTTGCATTTACTGACAAAAGTGCCAAAATAGCCCCATGTTGAGATCTTTCATTGATATTAAGTTATGCACCAAAACCTTACACAAAAAATATTTTGCAACAAGATGTCTAATCTAATTGTACCTCCTCCTTTCCACGATTTTCTTATAACATGTTGTTCATTAAAGAACATTTAGGTATATGAACTGATGACATGTAATGTACACTACCTATAGATAATGTTACCTCAGCTGAAGTATAGTTGCTATAATGATCATCTGAGGACCTGCTACAAGTTTTCATGTATCTCTCTCTTTCTTTTACATCTAACAGTGCCAATAACTCATCTCGCTCTCTGCTTAAACCTGTAAAGAAGTGAGAGCATAAAATATACAAATATTAGGGAGTACCTGTTCTTGATTTTCCCTAAACAATCTTGAACTTTACATTTTATTTACAACTGTTCCTAGAGACAAATGGTCCATGGTTTCTTTTATTCTGATGAAATAAACTTTTTACATTTTATATATGAACAAAAAATATAAAATAAATAATTGGTACCAGATTGCAGTGGATTACTTCTCGATCTTGTCTTTACATTTTATTTTAGAATTTCTTTTAAACCAGCACTATATGGTAAAATTCATACCTTTATTTTGTGCTGACACTTTCTGTAAAGCCTTATTTTTTTCCTCCAGTACAGATGTCAATGATGAATTCTCTCTACATACACTGAAATTACAAAAACAATACTTGAATGAAAAAAATGATCCCTGTTCTTATAAATTGGTAAACAAGAATATCAGCTCTATAGGATACAATGCACTCACTATCACATTGTTATGTTCCATTCTTAATTCAGGGAGATAACATTAATTGAACATACTGTGAAAGTATTTTTATTCGTGGGTATCAATTTTCGTGGTTTGAGCAAAAGTTATACGTTCCTAGGTTCTTAAATTCGTGGATTTTAGTTTTCTGAAATAAAAATGAGTGAAGAATTTGAAGCCATCAGTAACAAAGATTCTTGAAATAATCCTATGTTGTTTTATAAAGATTTGTGGGACATTGCAAATAAGGTGTTCATTTTCACTTACTTATTCGTCAGCTTTCATTACTGACAACATTCATCAAATCTTTTAACAAAATAATAGCTTTAGGAAATATTATAAAGCTGATTCAACTATGCTCTTTTACAGTGTCGACTTATCTATTGAAGGAAATTGCAAAGGAAACATTTCAATTGTTGCACACGTGTAATCAGAAGTGATGACACTAGTAAACCCAATATAATATGATCAACAGATTAACAATCATCAAAGGTGTTAATTGGGCCATAAACAAGTCACTTAAAGAAAACATGTAAATGAAAATTGCTACAAATGTACATTGAATTGTAGAATTAATTCATATGAAGTAAAAAAGCAAGTTCAATATGAAATTGTTATTTTTTTTTCATATGAGAATTATGAGGAGATGAAATGAACACTTCATCATTGCATATCATCATTGGAAGTCTGACTTTCATCGATTTAAACTAATTTTTCATGAAAATTAAAAGGTTAAAAGTCGTACAGTTTAGGTTTTTTAAAGATTAAATGGGTAAAATCCTTTCTAAAGTTGTATATATAGTTCATAGTGCGTTTGCTGATATTCTATGTATTCTCTAGATTATATGCTGATATTTATGTAGTCAAACCTACATGGGGATCTTTGGACAGCACTTGTTATATTTCGTTGGACACTTAGATTCATGGATAAAGCCATCGACGAAAACCATGAAAATTGGTACCACACGAATAAAAGTATTTTCACAGTATATATTTTAAAAAGTTCACATAATAATGAACATATGTACTAAGTTTCAAGTTGATTTGACCACAACTTAATGATAAACTTCCACCAAACTTTAACCTGAAATTTGACAGATTGATGGGCAAACAGATCAAAGTAAGGAGTAGTGCACAGACCAAAAAACAAAAGGCTCAGAAACAGGTAGAATGTGAGGCTGTGCTAGTAAAACTCTTGCTTTGAGACAATGTATAGTTAGCATTAATTACTGTTGTTTAACATGAAATACTGTGGGCTGAGCTAGTAAAACTCTTGCTTTGAGACAATGTATAGTTAGCATTAATTACCGTTATTTAACATGAAATACTGTGGGCTGTGCTAGTAAAACTCTTGCTTTGAGACAATGTATAGTTAGCATTAATTACCGTTGTTCAACATGAAATACTGTGGGCTGTGCTAACATGAAATACTGTGGGCTGTGCTAGTAAAACTCTTGCTTTGAGACAATGTATAGTTAGCATTAATTACCGTTGTTCAACATGAAATACTGTGGATTCATTTATTTTACTTGGATACCAATTTTTCGTGGATTAAGGGAAAGTTGATTTTGTGGTTCTGCAAAAGTCTGTTTATATGAAACAGAAAATTTGTGGTTTACCTGTACCCACGAAATACACCAAAATTGGTCTCCAATGAATAATGATGAATCAACAATATCTTGGATCAAAATCAACAATTATGAATTTGAATTAGAACATGAAAAATAAAATGCTTCGCTGGGGCGCAGCTTGATACGACCGCAGAGGTCGAACCCTGAACAGTTGGGGCAAGTATGGACACAACATTCAAGCTTGATACAGCTCTGAATTTGGATTGTTATTAAATATTTGACACAGCATAGGTTTCTGACACAGAAAGAATGTGGTCTAAGAACTTGAATTTTTTTTAATTTACCTATTATGGTCCAATGTCCAAAATCAAAATACATGGTTAGATTCAGCATATCAAAGAACCCCATATATTCAATTTTTGTTAAAATCAAACAAAGTTTAATTTTGGACCCCAACTTGGACAAACTTGAAAACTGGGCCCATAATCAAAAATCTAAACACATGTTTAGATTCAGCATATCAAAGAACCCCAAGAATTCAATTTTTGCTAAAATCAAACTAAGTTTAATTTTGGACCCTTTGGACCTTAATGTAGACCAATTTAAAAAACGGGACTTAAAATTAAAAATCTAAATACACGGTTAGATTTGGAATATCAAAGAACCCCAATAATTCAATTTTTGATGAAATCAAACAAAGTTTAATTTTGGACCCTTTTGACCTCAATATGAACCAATTTGATAGCGGGGCCCACAACTAAAAAATCTAAATTCATGGTTAGATTCAGCATATCAAAGAACCCCAATAATTCAATTTTCGATGAAATCAAACAAAGTTTAATTTTGGACCCTTTTGACCTCAATATGAACCAATTTGATAGCGGGGCCTACAAATAAAAAATCTAAATACATGGTTAGATTCAGCATATCAAAGAACCTCATATATTCAATTTTTGTTGAAATCAAACAAAGTTTAATTTTGGACCCCAATTTGGACCAACTTGAAAACTGGGCCCATAATCAAAAATCTAAATACATGTTTAGATTCAGCATATCAAAGAACCCCATATATTCAATTTTTGTTGAAATCAAACAAAGTTTAAATACTGGACCCTATCTTGGACCAACTTGAAAACTGGGCCCATAATCAAAAATCTAAACACATGTTTAGATTCAGCAAATCAAAGAACCCCAAGAATTCAATTTTTGTTAAAATCAAACTAAGTTTAATTTGGACCCTTTGGACCTCAATGTAGACCAATTTAAAAAACAGGACCCAAAATTAAAAACCTAAATACACGGTTAGATTTGGAATATCAAAGAACCCCAATAATTCAATTTTAGATGAAATCAAACAAAGTTTAATTTTGGACCCTTTTGACCTCACTATGAACCAATTAGATAACGGGGTCCACAAATAAAAAATCTAAATACATGGTTAGATTCAGCATATCAAAGAACCCCATATATTCAATTTTTGTTGAAATCAAACAAAGTTTAATTTTGGACCCCAATTTGGACCAACTTGAAAACTGGGCCAAAAATCAAAAATCTAAATACATGTTTAGATTCAGCATATCAAAGAACCTCATATATTCAATTTTTGCTAAAATCAAACAAAGTTTAATTTTGGACCCTTTGGACATTAATGTAGACCAATTTGAAAACTGGACCCAAAATTAAAAATCTAAATACACTGTTAGATTCGGCATAACAAATAAATAAATGTGATCAAAGATTTTACAAATCTAATGCGCCATACTGTGCAATTAAAGATTACTTCTTAAATTTTTCAATATTTGAAATTTGAAAAAAAAATAATATTTGAAGAATAATTCTTTTTAATTTCTGAAATCTGAAATGAGAAAAAATTGGCCCCCCACAATTTCTTTTTATCCCCCCCCCCCCCTTTTTCCCCCCAAAAAATTCTTTCCCTCAAGATATGGTCATAATCTCAATTCAAATTTCCAATGGAGTTGGCAACCATAATTACCCATTTAAATTTACCATGGTGCTAACTTAATCTATTTTATAATAGAATTAATAAAAATAAAGTGTCAAATCTTTCATATGGATTTTTTTGTAAAAAAAAAAGATGAAAACATTTGCAGATATTTTTACTGGTCTTCCTTTATAAATATGCATTTCTTTAAACATAATTTAAAAGCAGTGTAAGGGAAGTAACCAAAACGTTGTATTTGGATTACCTCCCTTACACTGTTTTAGATTATCTTTATTGTTCATTAACCATTACTTTATACATAATTTAAAAGCAGTGTAAGGGAGATAATTTCAATGATGTATTTGATTTATCTCCCTTACACTGCTTTAAATTATGTTTTGTACTAAAGTATTTGTCCATTAACCAGGACAACCTTGTTTTTCCCCCTTTTTTGCCCCTAATTCCTAAACAGTTTGAGCCATAACCCCCCAAAGCAAATCCTAACCATCCCTTTGTGGTATGGAAACTTGTGGTATAATTTCAGAGAGATCCATACACCGTTCCACAGTTATTGTCTGGAAACTAGAAAATGCTCATTTTTGGCCCCTTTTTGGCCCCTAATTCCTTAACTGTTGGTACCATAACCCCCAAAATCAATCCCAACCTTCCTTTTGTGGTATTTAACCTTATGGTCAAATTTCAAAAAGATCCATTCACTTAAACTAAAGTTAGAGTGCGAAAACCAATATGTATTCGGACGACGACGCCGGACGACGACGCCGGACGACGACGACGACGACGCCAACGTCATACCAATATACGACCACAAAATTTTTTTGCGGTCGTATAAAAACCTCCAGAGTCCTTGAACCTGCATTCTTTTACGACACATATATACTTACTTGTCAAATCTCTCAGCCCATATAGCTTGACTGCTCAAAATTGACACCTACTTGTCAAATCTCTCAGCCAATTTTGCTTGACTGTTCTCTAACAATACCTACTTGTCAAATCTATCAGCCCACATGACTTGACTGTTCTCTAATGATACCACTTGTCAAGTCTCTCGGCCCATATATACCTACTTGTCAAATCTCTCAGTTCATATAGCTTGACTGTTCCCTTATACCTACTTGTCAAATCTCTCGGCCCATATTGCTTGACTGTTCTCCAATGATACCTCCTTTTGGTCCAACTCAAAGTGCAGCTTATTTACTTCCTAAAAGAATTATAATGCACTGAAAATACTTTTTGAACAAGAATGTGTCAATAGTACACAAATGCCCCACTCGCACTATCATTTTCTATGGACACATTCTTGTTCTATGTTCAGTGTTCAAATTGGGGTCAAAACTCTAATTTGGCATTAAAATTAGAAATATCATATCATAGGGAACATATGTACTAAGTTTCAAGTTGATTGGACTTCAACTTCATCAAAAACTACCTTGACCAAAAACCTTAACCTGAAGCGGGACAGATGGACAAACGGACAGACGAACAGACACACAGACCGAAAAACATAATGCCCCTAGGTGGGGCATAAAAATCTATTGTTAATAATGCCTTTGTTTATTATCTTTACTGGTGTTCCATAATTTTTTAACATGCTGGTAATTAAAATAATATATAAACCAAAACTGTAATGAAGATACGGATTATTTCTTCAGGTTCAGTAGTGAACAAAAAATAGAAAAGGTAAAAAAAAAATGGATTAAATACTAAGAATTTTATTTTTCATAAATATATATATTATCATAATAATTTTTAACAATTTACCTGTTCTAATGAATGATTATATATGTAAGATTTCTTCTTCTGTACCTCCCTAAAGTCTTGTAGCTTTTTAGACTACAAACAAAACATAAATATGATCATAATGCTGTACAAGTCTTAAGTCCTGTCATTGAAACAAATTAGTCTTTTTTAAAAGGACAAACAAAAGGGAAATCTGTTCTTGAGTGGTAAAGAAAGTTGAGCAACATTTATTAATGAAAAAAGATAACTTCACTCTTTGACTACAATTAAAAAATGATTTTTCAAAGTAAATAAATTCTTTCCCCTATAAATATTATATATAAAATTTTGATTTCAAGTTTAATATGCTGAATTGTGCATCAGTTAGTAATTTGTCCTATAATATCTGTGTGAATGTGAAAAGGACTGAAGATCATTAAACATGTCAGAATTTCATTAAAAAAGTGTTGTGATACAACAAAACTGTGTAACTGTATCTCATACCAGCATTTTGTACTGAATATACCTGTTCTCTTAATATTGCTATTGCTTTATATTTGGCATCCAGTCTTTTCTGATAAACTTCTATTTCACATTTTAGTTCTTCAACTTCCTGAAAATATATATAAAATACCTCAATCTTGTATCTGTAAAGAGAATTTGTTTTTTTAGATAAAATGAACTTTGTGCAGGGAGCCTCAGATGTTAGTTTATTAAGACTGATAAAATGACCTACTGTTGATTTGAAACAGACCCCTTCTAACACCTGCATGGACATCTTAATGATTTTAAATTTTACTGTAACTAAAATACATGCAAGAACTTGGTATAGAATTTGAACGAGATCAGTGAATCAAAAGAATAAGGTTATTTAATGCTGACCTATATATTCTGTATTTTACTTTTAAAACACATGGCCAAGATAGGCATATAAGGTTTTTGAGCAAATAAACCTAGTTTAATCCCATTCTTTAGAGGAGTCAGGTGTCGGTTGTAGGTGTGGCCTGTTAACACATTTTTATCCTGTACCAAGTCAGGCTATCTGAAAAATGTGTTTTTCATTGTTGTCATTTGAAACACCTATATTTTTGGTCCAGACAGGTGTTGGTAGTCGGTGTGGTCACATTTTAATCATGTACCAAGTTAGGCTTTTTCAGTGTTGTTTGGAACACCTATTTTTTCAGACAGGTGTTGGTAGTCGGTGTGGTCACATTTTAATCCTGTACCAAGTTAGGCTTTTTCATTGTTGTTTGTTTTGGAACACCTATTTTATCAGACAGGTGTTGGTAGTCGGTGTGGTCACATTTCAATCCTGTACCAAGTTAGACTATTTCATTGTTGTTTGTTTTGGAACACCTATTTTTTCAGACAGGTGTTGGTAGTCGGTGTAGTCTGTAATCCATTCTTATAAAAATTTGTCAATTAACAAACTTCTTCAGCTGTTTTTAGTTTTCTTTCTATTTCTTCTTTTCCGATCTTTTTTAACAAATCTGAAAATAAAAAATAATATAACAATTAATAACTGCTATGGTAGGCAAAGGATAAAACATTAATTATCTGTTATGTATTAAGTATCAGGATATTAAACCGTTATCGATCATTCATATCATATATTAAACATTTTTTTAATTGTAACACCTCATAATAAATGCATTTCAAACTCTCTTTTCAGAACATATTATCGAAGTTTAACAACCCATGAAGCCATGTTCATATTGAGAATTAAAATCCTAAAATTTCATCAAAATAGAATTTTTCATATGAATATTAATACTTTTATGTTTGGAAGTTTCAAGGTAAACTATTCTCATTTCACTGCACCTGCTTATACTATCAACAAACCTTTCTTTTGTAATCAGATTAAATTTGCAACCAATTGCTTAGTTGCAATTAAATAAATTTATACAGAAACTTGAAAAAGAGCTAAGTTCAATAGAATTTAGAAAGGAAAAAGCCTCCTTCATAATCACAATAATAGACTTATTGCCAATAACTCCTTTAAAGAGTTGCTTGATGATTTCAGCCTTGGTAACTTATTTGTAGATCTTGTCCTGTAAATCCTTTTTGCTTTTTACAGTTTTTCTTCATATATTATAGTTTTCAAGATAAAATCCAAAATCCCACAAAAATGATTATTTAAGGGCAACAACTACTATACCTAGTATGCTGAGAATTTTGGTCTATTTTTGCTTTGGCTGTCATGATAGATGGAAGACAGGATCGTTAGACTGATACACTGAGATTGATTGTGGTCAAGTTAGGTTCGAATTGTTCTACAGTTTCAGAGAAGAAGATTTTTTTTAAAGTTAACAGACAAAAGGACTACAACAAGGGACATGAAATGATCACAATAGCTCACTTCGGCCTTTTGGGCCATATGAGCTAAAAATTGATCACTTGCATAGAAAGAATTAACTCATGATGCTGTAACAGTTTTAATAGGTTATAACTGGTATAGTTTAAATCTAAGATCAACTTACAAATCACATGAATGTGACATTGCTTCCCTTCTCTAAATTTAGGTTTCTTTTAAACAAAATTTATGGATAAAATGCATGCACAAGTATATGTCATTATACTAACTCATGTTATTGAAGACAACTGATGTTTTATCCATGATTTAAGAGTACGGTTTCAAATATTTTACATCTAAAAATAGTTGTATCAACTACTTCACATTTAGATTTCTATTTAGAAACATGTTTGTACAGTTAGTCTTTGTATTACTTATCATCAAATTCATACAAATCTCTATATTTATCAAACCCTGATTTTTAATTTTTGTCTTTTACAGTTTTCAAGATGAGAAGCAAAATTGGTAAAAAATTGTCCAAATACAAACTGAAAACTTTTATTTATGATAGTCTCTGTAACATGAATTATGTTATGTCTTAAAAATAAAAGTACCTAAACAATAGCCAAATCCATCTTAAGGTCAACTTTGCCCGAGGGAGTTGAAACCTCAGTTTCTTCATAATTTCAAAATTTATAAAAAGACAATTTTAGAAATGTTTGTTATAAATCAAGACAGAAACGAAGAAAATCATGAGATTTATTTTAATATTACAACTGTTTTTACAATTACAGAGTATTCTTTGTTTTGTCTGAGCCATATATGGGGAGATAACTCAGATAACGTTATTCACAATTTTATAGGGAATGTGCATGTACAGTTAATTTACCTATTTTGTTTTGTAGCAAGAAAACTATAACCATGATCTCAATTCTTATTTTTATTTGGAAATAGAACTGTTTCCCCAAAAACATAAAAAATCTTTTCTGATAACACCACAATACCAGTGCTATATGGCCCTGGGGAGAGCACCGCATACAAAAGTGTTTTCCCCCATGTATAATTTTTACAAATTTTGACAATTTTGAAGACCTGTAGCTTGAAAAAATGCTTCCTGACCCCCACTTTTTATAATAAATTTATCATATTTTTGAAAATAGCATAATAAAAACTACATTTTGGCAAAGTAATAAAATATCAGTTGTTTTTCATGTTTTTAATTAGACCCATCTGTCTACCTTAATACCTCTGCTTGGCTATATTCAAATAAAGAAATTGGCAAATGTAATCAGAAAGTTTGAATGCATTACTGCATATAAGTGTATTTTGTCTTGGACTTTACATGGTTATTGGCTTGATTTAATATTTTTTGTAATCGCTGTTACCTACATGTGTATCATTCATTAAATTTCAGATGTTAAAGACAGCAAATGGCCTCATTAGATACGACCACTAGCAGAGAAGATCAAGCACAGTGTGTTGTTCCAAATGTTCCTGGAATTGAACAAATTAAACCAATGAGATTTGGAACCCTGGCAATGCCAAAGAAGAAGTCTATAGAGATATCAGCCTGCAGAATACTACCTGATGGTAAATAATTAATTCTTGATTGCGATTACAAAGAAAGTTGTCTGCTGCTTTTCAGCAACGATGGGACCTTTCTAAGAACAGTAGCAACATTCAAAGGTTCCTCATTTCATGTTTGCTTTGTCAGAAATAATACAGTAGCTTTCACATTACAAATAGAAAATGAGACAGCACTGGTGGATGTGGAAAAAAATGAAATTATGGAAACAATTAAACTTTGTCATAAATGTTGTGCTGCAGCAAGTGATGGTAAGAAGATGATCATCAGCAGTATGGAGAAAAGTACCTTAGTTTATCTGAACGATAAGTCTCAAACAATCTTAGATGGAGTCAGGGCACATCTTAATTCTTTATTCAATGGAAATATCTATGGTACTATTTATCATGAAGACAAAGTGTATTGCTACAAAAGTACTGGAGATGTTCTGTGGACATTTGAGCACTATGACATTGACAATCCTCAGGGAATTACTGTAGACATGTATGGTTTTGTTTATTTTGTTTCCCAAGAAAACAACAAATTCTTACTAATACATGTAATATCACCAGATGTTCAAACCAGTAGGATAATACTATCAAAAGATGATGGAATCAAATATCCTTATGAAATACACATAAACAGAGGAACAGGGATTATGATTGTGTCCAGTAAAGAAAAGTATGATAGTGATAGTAAATCATATGAAACAGCTCTTGTTTATAAAATGTAAAATCTGAGATTAATTCATTTTGCAAATTAAAGTCTCTATTCATCATGTTCATAGTGTTTAATTTATAAATACTCAACAGCAATAATATATAACTTATCTATGTAACTCAATTATCAATAATATATAACTTATCTATGTAACTCAATTATCTACAGATCTATACATTTATCATATACAGAATCTCATATATGTCATGTATGTACTACATTTTCAAATATACCCTCACATTCAAATTTGAAAAGAAATTGCAATGTCAATGTTTTGCTATTCATTGATGAAAATTGAAATGTAAAAAGAAAAAAAAAAACAGATGTCGGATGGATAATTCCATTGCAAACATACGCCGGGTCAGCTTGTGTTTAGCAGTGTGTTTTGTTTTCATGACCAACTCATAAATAAGAGAGATATCTTTTATAACTGAAATAATAAAAATTAGCTCTTAATCAGTTAATTTATAGGTGATTGACAGATGTATACATGTATAGAGCTTCATGTATAGGTCTACAACCATTCACAAGAAATACAACTGACATGATGTCCTGGACATTCAATAATGTTTAAACAAAATCATGAGAAGAATTGGTGATAAAAATGAAATTGCCAAGTCATCAGATAAACTGGGAGTCATATTTTTCTAGATGTTTAAAAATAAATAGATGCAGATGCACACAAGATTAATGTATGATATACTACATTGTACTACATTGAACTAGCAACAAATTTTATTGAAATTTAATTCAAGTTGACAGTATAAATGATATGCCTAATAAATAAATAACAACTATATTGTCTAAACTTTTTTATAAGGAATTTTAGGTTAGGAATTTTTTCAATATACATGTATATACCATATCATTTAAAAACACTGAAGTATATTTTTTATTGCAAATATAAAACAATTTCCTTAATGATAAGCACAAAAACACAACCTACTAGTAACCAAAACTTTAAAGGAATTTCACTTCTCCAAGAAGTTGACCCTCTCCAAAATCCTAGATTAGGCCCTGATAACGCCTAAAAAGAATTAACTGACAATGACTTATTTGTAGATCTTATCTTCCTGACCATTTTTGCTATTCAAATTTCTATCTTATTCTACAAAATGTATCTATTACAGTAATCAAGATAATTGGCAAAGCCGTAAAAACAATAGTAATTTAAGAGCAATAACTCCTATAGAGAGTCAACAAACTACATGTATTTCAACAATACTAAACTATTTTTAGATCTTGTCTTGTGTATCATTTTTTTCTACAATGTATTTAAAGTTTCACTCTATTAGCATGATTAGTTTTTCCTTTGCTCAAGCTTGAAAGGGAATTCTTTTTCCCCCCTTAAGGTAACAGTATAAATCAGATTTGACTCAGTGATCACTTTTTCTAAAGAAGCTCTATAGTATGGTCTACAGAATATAACCAATAAACCTATAATAAATCTTTCTGTCAAACTTTCATCTTAGTTTTGGTTCTATATACAGTCAGAGATACACTGTATTACTCTATAGGGTTATTACAGAAAATAACTTGTGTGTGTTATTACAAATACTTTCATGAGTTGTCTACTCTTTATTCCTTAAATTTTCCAAATCTGCAATAACATATGTTTGTTATTTGTAAAATAAATAAAAAATATTTTAATTTATAATGGGCTCTAGGGAACTCTTGAGACTTTGCGCAGAAACTAAATGCATAGCCTTGATAATTAATTCTTTAATTATATTAATACATTTTTGATTAACCATGGTAAATCAATGAGACAAGGCTTTTAAGGGATAAAATTAGCTGTAATAACATAGCTTAGTTATTAAAGGAATGTAACCTATTATATGAGACACTTGGGAATTACTGGGAAGCTTGCGCAGAACCTCATTACATGCTCTGGTCATTATTTCTTACAATAAATTAAAATATATTGTAATTAAGCATGATGTATGTCTGAGAAAATGCTTTGGAGTGATATAGAGAAGCTGTGATAACACCCTTTAGTTATTACAGGCATATTTTTTCTGTAATAACATATAGGTGTACTATGCAAAATTGGCGAACTATGAACTGTTATATCTTCCTATAGTTAAGTATACATAAAGACAATAGTAATATCAATAGAACTTGTATGCATTTTAACTAAACTAGTGATGTATATTGTCCCTTTGAAACATGTAACATATATATGTTATCACAGTTCTTTGATTTTTAAGTCCACAATAACAAATGTATGTTATTTTTCTGTAATAACCCTATAGAGTTATTTCCCTGACTGATGTCCCTTAAAAACTTTCAACAACATGGTGAAAAGCAAACATCTTTTGATTTTGATTTTTTCTGGATTTTTTGTAAAACATCATAATCAATGATAAAGAAGCATATGATTTCTTGCAAATTTGTGTATCTGATTGCCAAAAAATATTATGACAAGTAAACAGACATGATAAATCCACTTAATACACCCAATAACCACCAGGAGAGCATCATGCAGCAGCACCTGTCTCATATTTAAGAAATCCTAAGCAGGCATTAAGCGTTTGAACCTACATTATGAGTACATAAATTATGATATATATATAATATCCTATACCTGGGGATTTGTTCATCACACGACTGCAGCAACCTTCACTTTGAATTTCAAGTTCACATGATGACTGTGTATGATGCAAAACTGGAGTTTCTTCTGCAGTTTCAGTTTGTTTTGTTTTGATATCTGATTTTTTCGCTTTCAGAAAAGGTAAGGTGCGATATTTATTTTGAGCAACCGGCGTATATAACGGTGTTGATTTTTTCGATGGAATCCCCTGACAGTTATTATTGTCATAAAAATTCAACCTAAGACCTCCTGGTTTTAAACCTAAGCCTAGTCCCAAGTCACCATTTTCTTTAAAATCACTGTCATCGTCACTTAAAACAGACATAATTTAAAATCCATTTCTCATGTTTGCGTGTTAACCGGAAGTGCCTAGGAACTCATTAAGTAAACTTAAGTGCGCCAAAAAAAAGTATTATATTTACGGTCACTTCTTGGTTTTCAAGTCTATAAAACACATTTCATTAATGAATTTCATTCAAATGCCCTGCTTAGGAAAATAAATGATTGTTTAAAATAGAATGTTCTTGCTAAAAAATTGGCGAATGAATATATTCTAGGTATGACCCAAGACCTTTTTTAATATTAAGTGAACGACAACAAAAACGGTCTTCAAAAAATGAAAAAAAGGGGGGGGGGGGGGGTTGCGAGAACAAAAAACTATTTATACTCCGTCCCTTTCCCTAAAGCCAGGAGACTTGTCAGTGGTTGTCTTGTGTTGTTTGGAGGATTTAAATTAGAGTTGATTTGATTATTTCGATTTACTTTATTTAATGGGTGTAGTATGTCATATCTTATTCTATTCCGATTCTTTTTAATTTTAATTTTATGGTGGCATATTGTATAGACAACACAGTCACTCGTCTCTGATTTTTTTTACCTATTTACCTTAATCATTTTGAACAGAGGGTATAGATGGGGGACCTTCAACTCTGCCGGTTAGTTAACTTGTTTCAGTTTAAAGCCATTTTTCGTTATTATTTATAAATTTTGCCAATTATTCTTTATTCTTTATATTTTAGCACCCCATTATTCTATATTCTTTATTTTTCTCTATTCTTTATTTATTTTGCCTATTTTTCTCTACTCTTTATTTTTTGGACCTATTTTCTGTAGTGTTGGCCTACTATTATCTATTCTGTAAACCCCATCCAGACCCTCATACTGTTTACTGGTAGGTTCCTCATATCTAAGGAGCACTCCCGAAGGATAAATTTATGAATTATTAGAACGTATATGAATATTTACAAAGACTTAGTTTTGACTTACTGTTATTAGTACCATCACCCATATAAAATTCATCTATACAGTACAATATATTCCTTTCACTTAGAATTGTCACTTTGATATTACTTATATATGTAATACTGATCTTATGTGATACTCCATTTAAGCCTTGGTCTGATTTAATAAGGTACGTTTGATATGAAGGCTGTAACATATTGTCCTTATAACATTAAAGGTGCTTTTTTCCCCGCGGAAAACGCCATGGTCTATCAATCAAGACTATATGTTGCCCTCTACCATATAAAGTTTGTGAAATAAAATAGTTCGATGATTTTCTTGATTGTTTTTTGTATATGCTGTATTCTTTTCTTTGAAATTATCAATATATATTTTCTACACTTTTTTGGACTACGGGTTGAAAAGAATTCCACAATAAAGTAGGACTAATATATTATTGAGTATAATAGTCCCAGACGGTACCGATATCATGATGGAATGTTTCTTCACTAAATTTTAGTGGAGTCTCGGAGAAGTTTCAAGTTTTTGACGACCTCAGGCTGCAACTTCACGGAATATTCTGTACAATAAGCACATGTAGTAAAGATGGGACACATAAATATGGAAGTGGATTATTATTTGTACACTTAAAAATTAAAACTCTCTTGTGATATTCTATTCTAAGATGAGACTCGAGTCAAGACATCAGTGGACCAGTTTAATATTATATGAGGAGTAGGGGACTAGAAAATGTATTTACTGAGCTACTTCTGATCGATGACTTGATTTAATTGCTATGACCACTAATCTTCTCGTAGTCACAATCTCGTCCTCTTTTCCTCGATAGTGACATCACCGTCTGTCATGTATCCCCGAATTTTCACTGAGTCACCAGTAGCAACACGACAGGTGCCACTAGTGGAGCAGGAACTGCTTACCCTTCCGGATCACATGAGTTCACCCCCCCCCCTTTTTTTTTTGGTGGTGGATTCGTATTCTTTAGTTTTCTGTGTCTATTGTTTTTATTTTTTTTGTTTTTTTTTTCTTTTTGGTCATGGTATTGTCTGTTTTTTCGTCGACTAATGTTTTTACTACCCCTTTGATATCTTATCCCTCTTATTGGAGTTCATAGTTCATATAGCATATTGTTTTGTATATGTGTACCGACTTTAGGTAAAACTTATTGGAGTTCAGATAGCATATTGTTTTGTATATGTGTACCGACTTTAAGTATATGTAAGAGAATGATAATCCCTTTCTTCATGAATAAGTACGAGCGTTAGCGAGTACTTATCATGAAGTAAGGGATTATCATTTTCTTACAAACTTAGAATATTGTAAAGTGCTCAAGGCTCAAATGATCTATTCAAGAATTAGTTTCATTGTCAGTGCAATGTTTATAATTGATGCATGACTTCCTTTTTCGGCATGTCATTTATGGATTAGTTCTAGTGATGTGAGGACTTTCTTATCATTTTTTGAAATATTTAAAAAAAATGCGTTATAGATATTAGGTGACACAACAGTAGAAAGAAAAGGTAGGAATTGTATGTTTCCTGATTGTGAGTATGAATGTAAACATGTAATATTTCAGTGAGGAATTATCCTTTTTTTATTTACAGTTTAAATCAATTTAAAATACATTTGAGTCACAACTAAATTTTATTTCACAGCCAATAATTTGGTCCGGCTTTTTAAATCAAATACTGTTTCATTATGTCAGGGAAATGTTCAAAAATAATGCCTTTAAAAGTTTTTAATATGTTCAAAATTAAATTCCTGATTTTTTTTATCGGAATACATGTATTGGAAATAACTGTTCTCCCCAACCGCTGATCAAGTAATCAAAATTTTGGAAAGCTAAAGATTTAGGTTATTTTTGATCTCAAAGATTTTTTCTTTTTTTTTTGCATTGCTTTGGTATTGTTTAATTTTATAGTAATTTGAAGTTATTAATATTTTCATAATAAAATTCACGGTACCAATTTTACTGCACCAGTAAACTTCAACTTATTTTGAGATTTTTGTTTGTTTCACTATTCAACTTTTAGTCAGTTTCAATCACTGTGTGATAAATCCTTTCAATCTGATAAATGTGCTTCGGGGCAGTTGTAACTCATTTATAGAAACTCTTTGTTTTGGACTGTAAATAGACCCAAATAATAGGATAATCCCTTACTAAGAACATGATTTACATTCATTCTTCACAATTAAGAGGCATCCAATCCTACAATTTCATACAAAACAATACGCTATATGAACTCCAATAAGTTTTATTTAACGTCGGTACACATATACAAAACAATATTCTATATGAACTCCAATAAGTTTTATTTAGAATATAGCAAAGTACTCTCGACCAATGAAATTGTAGGATTGGATGCCTCTTAATTGTGAAGAATGAATGTAAAAGATGTTCTTAGTAAGGGATTATCCTATTATTTGGGTCTATTTACAGTCCAAAACAAAGAGTTTCTATAAATGAGTTACAACTGCCCCGAAGCACATTTATCAGATTGAAAGGATTTATCACACAGTGATTGAAACTGACTAAAAGTTGAATAGTGAAACAAACAAAAATCTCAAAATAAGTTGAAGTTTACTGGTGCAGTAAAATTGGTACCGTGAATTTATTATGAAAATATTAATAACTTCAAATTACTATAAAATTAAACAATACCAAAGCAATGCAAAAAAAAAGAAAAAATCTTTGAGATAAAAAATAACCTAAATCTTTAGCTTTCCAAAATTTTGATTACTTGATCAGCGGTTGGGGAGAATAGTTATTTCCAATACATGTATTCCGATAAAAAAATCAGGAATTTAATTTTGAACATATTAAAAACTTTTAAAGGCATTATTTTTGAACATTTCCCTGACATAATGAAACAGTATTTGATTTAAAAAGCCGGACCAAATTATTGGCTGTGAAATCAAATTTAGTTGTAACTCAAATGTATTTTAAATTGATTTAAACTGTAAATAAAAAAAAGGATAATTCCTCACTGAAATATTACATGATTTACATTCATACTCACAATCAGGAACATATAATTCCTACCTTTTCTTTCTACTGTTGTGTCACCTAATATCTATAACGCATTTTTTTTTTAAATATTTCCCAAATGATAAGAAAGTCCTCACATCACTAGAACTAATCCATAAATGACATGCCGAAAAAGGAAGCCATGCATCAATTATAAACATTGCACTGACAATGAAACTAATTCTTTAATAGATCATTTGAGCCTTGAGCACTTTACAATATTCTAAGTTTGTAAGAGAATGATAATCCCTTACTTCATGATAAGTACTCGCTGAAGAAAGGGAATATCATTCTCTTACATATACATAAAGTGTTCCTTATAAAACATATATCATTATGATTGTCCAATATTATATAACATTAATCGGATTAATATCCTCCGGCCAAACTTCGGAAATAGCGATAATTGCTTCTTCTTGCGGGGGCGGATCCAGCCATTTAAAAAAAAGGGGGGGGGGGGTTCAAATCATATGTCCCCATACAAAAGCATTGATCGTCAAAAAAAGGGGGGTTCCAACCCCCGGAACCCCCCCCCCCCCCCCTAGGATCCGCCACTGTCTTGTAAGTACATGTAGTTGAAATCAATAATCGAATTCGACATTTGAAATATTAAGACACATTTGAAATAAATAAATATACAATTTAAAACCATAGTAATACGAATATTAAATCACTTCTTGGTCGAATGTCCGTATGTTTCTCTTGGTTTTAAATTAATATAATGATTAAAGTCAAATAAAATTCATTCCAAATATTTTTTTTAACATTTTCATATTTTCTACTTTTTATCTTTTTTTAGGATTCTAACAGAGAAGAAAGATACTTAGTGATGCATAGGAAGACTGAAGAATAGCAGCACAAGTGTCAAAAATCGACGTACTCAGAAAGTTATATTATAGACATTTGGAAAGTTTTGCAGGTCAAATTAATATTATTGAAGTGTTTGGAACTGTTGTGAACAAAGGGTTATATAAATTTTTAGACAAATAATCATTATGAACTGTTCTACTTTTCATTCTATATCAATCAGAAAAAACAAAAATACCGAACTCTAATCTGATTAAAATTTAAATCGATCGTTACTCGCTTACCATAAGGAAATCAGAGATCTATATAT